CCAATGGCCTTATATCAGGCCTGGGCAAACTTTGGCCCTCCGAGTGTTTTGGACTGCAACTCTCACATTTCCTAACTTGGGCCCTCCGGGTGTTTTGTACTCCAATTCCCACCATTCCTAACTTCATCCCTCCAGGCGTTTTGGACTTTAATTTTCACAATTCCTAACTTGGGCCCTCTAGGTGTTTTGGACTCCAACTCTCACAATTCCTGAGTTTGGCCTTCCGGGTGTTTTGGACTCCAACTCCCACCATTCTTAACTTGGGAACTTTAGGTGTCTTGGACTTCAACTCCCACCATTCCTAACTTGGGCCCTCCAGGCTTTTTGGACTTCAATTCCAATATAATTTATAATATTGTAATGTAATGCAATATAATACCACTACTACTACTACTAATAATAATAATATATTATAATTATATAATATTCTAATAATGTTATAATATAATATATAATATATTGTATATACATATATTTATAATAATGTAATGTAATGCAATATAATACTAATAATAATATGATATTATAATTATATATTTATATTACATGTAATATTACTAATAATATTACAGTATAATTGATATAGTGCAATATAGCAATATTTAAAACTGATATTGTATTATGTTAATAATATATTGTATGTATATATACCTTGTAAGCCGCTCTGAGTCCCCTTCGGGGTGAGAAGGGCGGCATATAAATGTCGTAAATAAATAAATAAATAAATAAATAAATTCCCACCATTCCTAACTTGGGCCCTCCAGGTGTTTTGGACTCCAACTCCCACCATTCCTAACTTCACCCCTCCAGGCATTTTGGACTTTAACTTTCACAATTCCTAACTTGGACCCTCTGGGCCAGTGGTTCTCAACCTGGGGTCCCCAGATGTTTTTGGCCTTCAATTCCCAGAAATCCTAACAGCTGGTAAACTGGCTGGGATTTCTGGGAGTTGTAGGCCAAAAATATCTGGGGACCCCAGGTTGAGAAGCACTGCTCTGGGCTTTTTGGACTTTAACTCCCACAATTCCTAAGTTTAGCTTTCCAGGTGTCTTGGACTTCAACTCCCACCATTCCTAACTTCGACCCTCCAGGTATTTTGGACTTCAACTCCCACCATTCCTAACTTCGCCCCTCCGAGTGTTTTGGACTTCCACAATTCCTAACTTGGGTCTTCCAGGTGTTTTGGACTTTAACTCCCACCATTACTAAGTTTGGCTCTTTGGGTGTTTTGGACATTAACTCCCACCATTACTAACTTGGGCCCTCCGGGTGTTTTGGGCTTCAACTCCCACCATTCCTAACTTCGCTCCTCCAAGCATTTTGGACGTCAACTCCCACCATTCCTAACTTCACCCCCTCCAGGCATTTTGGACTTCAACTCCCACCATTCCTAACTTCGCCCCCCGGGTGTTTTGGACTTCCACAATTCCTAACTTGGGCCTTCCAGGTGTTTTGGACTTCAACTCCCACCATTCGTAAGTTTGGCCTTCCAAATGTTTTGGACTCCAACTCCCACCATTCCTAACTTCACCCCTCCAAGCATTTTGGACTTTAACTTTCACAATTCCTAACTTGGACCCTCTGGGCCAGTGGTTCTCAACCTTGGGTCCCCAGATGTTTTTGGCCTTCAACTCCCAGAAATCCTTACTTCACCCCTCCAGGCATTTTGGACTCCAACTCCCACAATTCCTAACTTGGGCTCTCCAGGTGTTTTGGACTGCGACTCCCACCATTCCTAACAGCCTCAGGCCCCTTCCTTTCCCCCCTCAGCCACTTAGGAATGGTGGAGTTGTAGTCCAAAACACCTGGAGATCCAAAGTTTGCCCATGCCTGCCTTATATGATGTTAAAGGGCTGGAATAATCAGGTCTCTGTAAGCTAACATTACGGTGTTTGGAATGTTTACAAAACAATTGATGAGGTCTAGAAAAGATTCACAACATTCTGTTTACATAAAATGATATAACTTCCCTATGATTCCCTCGCCCAAATGCAAAAGGTTTGTATGTTTTTCTTTGTGTACGACAACAGGAAATGCATTTGACCCCCTCCCCCCCAAAATAGGTTAATTTTGAAACAGAAGTGGGCTTTGGGGACTGCTTTGACACAAAACACACTCTGTAAAGCCATGGAATGACTGCGTACGTTGGTTCGTTACCACTTTATTGGAGAAGAAGTTAAACAAACGAACGAGTGGAATGCGAGGGAATGCGTAACACATGAAAAAGTACCATGAGCTGTAATAATAAATAGAGGCTCTTAAAGCAGAAACCCAAACGAAAAGTAATGGCTACTCTTCCCTCTCCGTTTGGAACCCATCATAGCCGTGGCCAACGTCGCCTGTGGTGCTCCAAACCGTGTCCTATGATATAGTCTCCACTGCAAACGGCAGAATGTGTTAAGACTGCAATATTGGGCTCCGTACAACTTGAAGCAACAACTGGGTCAGGTCACTGTTTTTTTTGGCTCAGACAATATACTTCGGAAGGTCACTTATTCAGAGAAGGAAAACACCAACAAACGTGGAAGAAAGACTTCAGTCCCCTCTGGCTGCTTTGTTTGGGCAGATCCATTGGGAGCAAAGGAACATTAATCGGGGAAGAGCGGGTGCAAGTCCGTGTTCTTGCCTATCATTCTTTTCCTTTAAAAAGCAAATAATAATTGTGTTGTCGAAGGCTTTTGTGGCTGGAATCACTGGGTTGCTGTGAGTTTTCCGGACTGTCTGGCTGTGTTCCAGAAGCATTCTCTCCTGACGTTTTGCCCACATCTATGGCAGGCATCCTCAGATGTTGTGAGGTTTGCTGGAAACTAGGAAAATGGGGTTTATATATCTGTGGATCGATGTCCAGGGTGGGAGAAAGAAAGAATTCTGTTTGAGGCGGTTGTAAATGTTTCCATTGGCCACCTTGATTAGCATTGAATAGCCTTGCAGCTTCAAGACTTAGCTGCTTCCTGTCTGGGGGAATCCTTTGTTGGGAGGCGATTAGCTGGCCCTGAAGTAGGTGTAAATGTTGCTGTTGGCCACCTTGATTAGCATTGAATAGCCTTGCTGCTTCAAAGCTTGGCTGCTTCCTGCTTGGGGGAATCCTTTGTTGGGAGGTGATTAGCTGGCCCTGAGATAGGTGTAAATGTTGCCACTGGCCACCTTAGTTAGCATTGCAGCTTCAAAGCTTGGCTGCTTCCTGCTTGGGGGAATCCTTTGATGGCAGATGATTAGCTAGCCTTGATTGTTTCTTGTCTGGAATTCCCCAGTTTTTGAGTGTTGCTCTTTATTTACTGTCCTGATTTTAGAGGGTTTTTTTTTTAATACTGGTAGCCAGATTGTGCTCATTTTCATGGTTTCCTCCATGAACCAACCTGGACACAGCATATGATTCAAGAACACAGAAATGCTGAACCACTCTCCCCACCACCATGCCAGACTACACAGAGAAACCACTGAAATCCACAAGAAGCATGTGGACAATTACAACAGAAAGACGAAAACAATGAAAATGAACAAAATCTGGCTACCAGTATGTAAACATTCCAAAACCAGGATAATAAATAAAGAGCAACACTCATAAAACAGGGGAATTCCAGACAAGAAATAATCAGGGCCAGCTAATCACCTCCCTACAAAGGATTACCCCAGGCAGGAAGTAGCCAAGCCTTGAAACTGCAAGGCTATTCAATGTTACTTAAGGTGGCCAATGGCAACATTTGCACCTACCTCAAACAACAAGACAAGAAACAATCAGGGCTAGCTAATCACCTCCCAAAAAAGGATTCCCCCAGGCAGGAAGCAGCCAAGCCTTGAAGCTGCAAGGCTATTCAATGCTAATCAAGGTCTCCAATGGCAACATTTGCACCTACCTCAAACAACAAGACAAGAAACCATCAGGGCTAGCTAATCACCTCCCCATAGAGGATTCTGCCAGGCAGGAAGCAGCCAAGCCTTGAAGGTGCGAGGCTATTCAATGCTAATCAAGGTGTCCAATGGCAACATTTGCACCTACCTCAAACAACAAGACAAGAAACAATCACCTCCCCATAGAGGATTCCGCCAGGCAGGAAGCAGCCAAGCCTTGAAGCTACAAGGCTATCCAATGCTGATCAAGGTGATCAATTGCAGCACTCACACTTGTTTCCAACAGACAAGAGTTCTTTTTCCCACCCTGGACATCATTCCACAGGTATGTAAACCCCATTTTCCTAGTTTCCAATCATCCCACAGGTATATAAACCCAACTTGCCTAGCTCCCAACAGACTTCACAACCTCTGAGGGTGCCTGCCGTAGATGTGGGCAAAACGTCAGGAGAGAATGCTTCTGGAACATGTGGTCAGAAAACTCAACAGCAACCCAGAAATAATAATTTGACAACACCTGAAGAATTACTGAGCAAAAGAAACACATTTTTGGAGGGACTGTATGACTTGATTCTCATACAAGTACATCGGGGTGACAATAGTTTTAAGCTATTCTCAATTTCAGAAGTACGTCCCAATTAGTCTGAATGTTGCGTTAATTGGAAAACATTGGGAAGTTGGGAGACTGTCTCTCGAGATGTGCTTTGCTTTAAAATCTATTTTGGAAAAATGACAGGTAGATGGAGTTTGACCAAGAATGAGCAAACCTGGGACCACTAGGTGTTTTGGACTCCGACTCCCACCATTCCTAACAGCCTCAGGCCCTTTCCTTTTCCCCCTCAGCCGCTTAAGCGGCTGAGGGGGAAAAGGAAGGGGCCGGAGGCTGTTAGGAATGGTGGGAGTCGGAGTCCAAAACACCTAGTGGTCCCAAGCTTGCCAAGGCCTGGTCCCGAGAGTTTGGATCTGGACCGGTGACCAACTCGTGACGCAAACCTTCCTAGATGCAACTACGGTCATGGAAGCTTACTGGCTTTGAATTTACATCATGTTATCAATGTGCGACGGACTCTAAACATGTTCCTTATCACATTGCGTCTCTCACACCATCCCCTTCCTGACATGACTTGAGGAGGCACTTTCTCTTTAAAGTCTTATAAATTAAAAATATTTATTCAACCGATATATGAGAGGCTTAGGCATCACTCTGCTTCCCGGCAGGACTCTCGCTCTGTCCCAAAAAAGACAGGAACAGAATTCGTTCAGTTCAGTTCAGCCCGTGATTCAATAAGGCCTCCATCTTTTCTGTTGTTTTTGGTCCTCTTTGGTTCAGACGCCAAATCCGCGGACGGATTCCTGCCATTTCTGCTTTGCCTGTTTGCCACCGGCGTGCAGAGGAGCCTAAGCCGAGTGTCCACGTCACCCAAGGTCTACTGTACAGTTACATTCCTTAAAGAGTCGTATAAAAGGACCTATTTTGAGCTCCCTCCTTAAATAGTCTCAAGATCTCCATCAGCATCCTCTTCCGAACTCAGCTCCGCAGACCGCCTCTGGGTACGGACTCGTCTGCATGATGTCAACAGGAAGCAAAGGCCATCCTTCGGAGCAGGCGTCCACCTCTCGCCTCGAGAGCAAGTCCCCTGCAAACCAGGAGAGAGTAGCAGCACAGACTCAAAACTCAAGAAGGAGGGCCAAGATGCAGAAGCGGCTTAAGACCCCAAAACAAGGTGTTGTAAAACCAAAACTCCTGGCCAGGGCGCCTCCACGGGCCCCACCGCCTCGCGGCGAGAGTGCTTCAACGGCCTAACTGCCCACTGCTGGCCAGAGCAACACTTGCGCGGGGCCACAGCAACAACTCTTTGGCCCGGCTGCCTTAAAACTCCTGGGCCGGTATTTATCTTTTAAAACCCTCCTGCTTAGATACCTCCTACCTCTGTTCACACCGTGTTTATTTTAAAATTCTTAATTTATTACATTTGGCCTGGCCATAAGGTTTCAAAATTGTATGTCATGATTATGTGAGTTATATTAATTGTACTCTTTTATTTATTGTATAAATATGTGAGAGGAAGCCACAGGGAGGAGGAGGGAGCAAGCTTGTTTTCTGCTTCCTTGGAGACTAGGACGCGGAACAAGGGCTTCAAACTACAAGAGAGGAGATTCCATCTGAACACGAGGAAGAACTTCCTGACTGTGAGAGCTGTTCAGCAGTGGAACTCTCTGCCCCGGAGTGTGGTGGAGGCTCCTTCTTTGGAAGCTTTTAAGCAGAGGCTGGATGGCCATCTGTCAGGGGTGATTTGAATGCAACATTTCCTGCTTCTTGGTAGAGGGTTGGACTGGATGGCCCATGAGGTCTCTTCCAACTCTAGGATTCTATGATTCTATGATTTGCTTGCTGTTTTGTTTTTACTGATGGGCTTGGCCTCATGTAAGATGCCAGCCACAAATGCAGGCAAAACATCAGGAGAAAATGCTGTCAGAACACAGCCATACATCCTGGAAACCACATCACACTCCAGTCCCCTTTCTGCCCAACTCTTGAAAGCTCTCCGCGCTCCTTCCCTCAGAGCATGCCCTCTCTCTCCATCCCGGTTAATGCTCACAACCCCCTTACCTGCCTCTTGATGGGCTTCCTGAAGCTGAGAGGCACTCAGGCACATGACGTCCTTTGCTTTCACTGCTCCTCCTCCAATGGCATGGAGCGTCTTGCATTGCATGTTGTGGTGGAGCATCTTGCGACACTTCCTCTGCATCTTGTCCAGGTTCTCCACCTCCTCGCGATGGTTTGTCTTAAAGACATCAGGTTCCTCGTCGTCAGGCAGGGAGCTACTCGAAGTCCTTTTCTTTTTCTTCTTCTTCCTCCTCCTCCTGCTGGATTCCCTCTCCTCTTCGCTAGACACCCATTTGCTGTTTGGTCCGTCATGCCGGACTTTACTGCTGGGTCTCTTTAATCCCGTTTTAAGCCTTTGCCTTGCCTGCTTTATCGAGTCGCAGCACTCAGAGTTGGAGCAGAAGCTGCGCTTGCCGCCTGGATCGCTACCGGCGACGTTTTGAACACAAATCAGCAACTCTCTGGCTCCCAACTTGCTCAAAGGCCACGGGTCACAGCTAGTTTGGCAACTCCCATTTCTCCTCTCAGTTCTGTTCCGTGAGTCATTAAGCGCCTCGCTAAAATATTCAGAGTCACTGCTTATCTCTTCCAATAAATCCTTCAGTTTATACACACGGCCAAATGGCCTTTTCGATGACACAATTTCCATTTCAGGATCGTTTCCTTGGCATTTCTTAGCGTTGACTAGAATAGGAGTATGCAGTTCATTCAACGAGTCACTGCTCCGTACTTGGAAGCTTTTGATAATCCCACTTGTACTGGTCTGGCTCCTGGACGCAGGTTCTTTCTCTATTCCTTCGCTCCATCTGAAATCTTTCTCACGACAGTCTGGGGCTGGACCCATTTCTTTCAAGCGCTGCTCCTCTTTGCTCTCGAGGTTGACGCAAATGTTGTTCCCATTTCGACACACGATCCTCTCCCGCCAAGGTTTCTCTGCTGGGCTGGGCAACGCTGCACAAATCCGTGCGTATCGTGGGGTTTGGTAGTAGTTTAGTAAATAATGGATGAATTCCTCAGTTTCGTAAACCTTTTGCTGTGTGCGTTTTCTGGCTTTTGGGAAATTTTGTGGTGGGTAATCCGCTGCGCGAGGCGGCTTTGCGGCTTGACACTCCTGAGTGACTGTGACCCGCAACAAGCCAGAGGTGTGATATCCATCGGCGGTTTTCTCCGTTGTGCAGCTGACTATTGTCCGCGAAACCGGCTTGTTCAAAACTGTTCTCACCAAAGGACAAGGCGATGTCGGCGAATCATCTCCAACGGGCTGTTCTTTCTCTCTTCCTGAAATATGCACATTATCCAATTGTGCCAAAGGACACTTGGGGTCTTTCCCATCTATTAGTTCTGGGTGTTGGAGGGAATTAGAGTTTTTCTTCTCCTTCAGTGCATTCTTTTTCTCAGGTGCGGGAAATGAATCCTCCCTCTCGTTTTCAAAATCCCGTATTTGCCTCGATGACAGCACAACATTCTTCAAAATAATAATAAAAAATGGAAAGACAGAATTACAGCAAAATTCAACAAATGACACCTACAGGACAAAAAATAAAAATTGACACTGTCTAATTAGGAATTATAAGGTGTGAATGGATCCTATAACTTTTGGGACCTGGAGCAGGAAAGCTAAATGGCACGTGGTTTTCCGACAAACACAAATCAGAGTCAAGTAAAGATTCCCCTGACCAAGAATCAAGAGTCAGATCCAGACTTGGTCAAATATTTGAGGTAAATCAATTGAAAGCAATGGCTTAACTTCAGGTCTTATTATAATTGAATTGGGTTTGCTGTAGTATAAAAATAAATGAGATTAAACTGACTGAAAATGAACAGAAGCAACATAAAAAACAAACTTTTCATGCTTTTTCAACTATCTGCTTTCAAAATGAGTTGTACAAAATGTACATATGGATTGTGCCATTTGGATCATACGTGTCACTCAACTACTTCTCTATCACACCATAAGACGACCAAATTACACTGTTTACAAAAAGCAAACAGAAGTTTCCCTCACTGTAGGACTGTCTCTGGGAGTTCATCTTTGTCAGTCTAAGGCCCTCATTATATATATAAAATATATATATATTTTCTCACAATCAGATAAGCTTTAAATAAGCTGGCATCATACAAAGGATGGTGGCTTTTATCTTAAAGGCTGAAACATCTTTTTTTTTCCTCTTGCAACAAATACAATAATTAAAAAATAGCATCCTTTGTCAAAAAGACAATAAGCAAGACACTTTCATCACCATGGATTAGGAGTTAAGGATTTTGTCTTTTATCACTGGGTACTGTTATAAGAATAGCACAACTGGTTAATTGCCAGCTGCAATAAAATTTTGCTAATCAAATTATTTTATTATTATTACTTACTATATTTATATACCACCCCTCTCAGCCCAGAGGTTAACAGTTCAAAGCCTGGGTCAGGGTGAGCTCCTGACCTTCAGCCCAGCTTCTGCCTACCTAGCAGTTTGAAAGCAAAATGTGAGTAGATAAATAGGTACTACTTTAAGCGGGGAGGTTTTAAAGGCACCCTTAAGGAAATGCCAGAAAATGCCGGCGATTCGATCAAGGAGGAAGTTTATGAACAATACTCTTCGGCAGGGAAGATGGAGCAACAGCACCCTCCTGTGGCTGGAACTGAGCACAGCCTCCAACATGCCAAAGATGGGAAAACCTATCTATGTTCAGTTGTCTGTCTTGTCAGTGTATAATGACATCGAATGTTTGCCATGTACGTGTGTGAGAAGGGCGGAATATATAAATACTGTAAATAATAATAATAATAAATAAGAATGTCATCCCAATGCTACATGCGGCTTGATTCCTTCACAGGTAAATTGATTTCACGGCACTAAAGAAACAGAAACTCAATCAACACTTGTGTTTTTGACAGCTGAAATAAGGATTTCCAAAAGAAAGAACCAAAAAAGATGGTCAAGAGATTGCTGATTCTCACAGCTAATGATAACATGGTGCTACCCATTGAATATGTAACTCTTCCTTTCATCACACAGTTAGTCTAATGCAGGCATGGGCAAACTTTGGCCCTTCAGATGTTTTGGACTTCAACTCCCACAATTCCTAATAGCCTACTGGGAGTTGGGAGTCCAAAACACCTGGAGGACCAAAGTTTGCTCATGCCTGGTCTAATGCACCAAAATAAAGTGCACCTGGAGCAGGGAGGCTGGGACCTCTTTTTCCTGGCATCTACATATTCTATTATACAGATTTGTAGAAATCTTTTGGAATATTTGTGAAAAAGACTTGTATTCTTACTTTGATTTGGTTTAACAGCACTGTAAGCAGCCTGATAGATTCCACTCTTCTCTGAGCTAGGAGGTATTTCCTCTCTTCCCATTCAGGCATATTTTCTGGCCACAACTCTTCTCCCGCTGTTACCTTCTGCTGCTTTCTTGGGCGTTTGTCATCGCGATCTATCTGTCTTTTTTCCCGTCTCTTGATCTTAGACTTCCTCTTTCCTTCTCCAACTTTTTTTTCATCATCATCATCATCACCACCACCATCACGTCTTTTTCTAGGCAATTGTTAATATGGGACAATTTAGATGTGTTTTTTGTTTTTTTGTTTTAAAACAGCCTCATATTACATTTCTAACCTTTGGAGGGTAGGGAAAGTTTTACGGACGCTGAACGGAAGGATTATTCATGCTTGGAATCTAGTAGCTGCTACACACAAGCAGTAACGTCACGTAGAAATGGGTATTTTTGAATACAACACCTTATATATATATATATCTATACACATAATAAAAGTGGAAATGTCTACGTGTGTATGTGGCGGAGGTGTCCACTTACACCAGTGGTTCTCAACCTGGGGTCCTCAGATGTTTTTGGACTTCAAATCCCAGAAATCCTAACAGCTGGTAAACTGGCTGGGATTTGTGGGAGTTGTAGGCCAAAAACATCTGGGGACCCCAGGTTAAGAACCACTGACTTACACAGCCTCCTGCCTCCACAAACAGCTTTAATCCACAGTGCTGGGGAGCCACCAAAAGCCCTCCCTCCAAAGACATTTCAGGTTATAGCAGCTACCATGAACATGTCTCCCAACCCCTGCCAATGTCCTCCCCAAACACCATACTGCCCACCACCCAAGTGAAGGCTTTCATTCAGGGATAATTTCATCCTAGATGTTCTGTTTTTCCTCCAGAATGGACATCCCAGGGTTCCTTCCTCTCTCCATGGGAGTGGAATTAGCATGACCCCACCCCACTGCCTTTCCTGTAACCCTTTCCTACCTTTTCTTATGCCACACAGCAAACAGGAATTGATTAACAACTGAACAAGAAGTTTGGGAAGAATTTGCCATGATTTGCCTGAGTTTCCCCCCACCCCCAAGGTTGAGAAGGGTGGGGTACAAATACTCGAAATAAATAAAATAAATAAATTTGTAGGAGTTGTAGTTCACCTACACCCGGAGAGCACTGTGAACCCAACCAATGATGGATCTGCACCAAAATTGCCACGGATGATGGATATGCAGTACCTTCACTCACTTCCAGAGACCACTGTGGCCCCCACGAATGATAGATCTCGACCAAACTTGGCACACAGACCCAACATAGTGAACTTTGAATACTGATGGGGTTTGGGGTGATTGGCCCACGCTTTTGGAAATTGCAGTTCACCCACATCCTTATGCATTTTTTAATGGGAGCATTCATAAAAAACAACAGGAAAGACTGACTTTTTTTCTAAGAAATAGAGCTACAAATTAATAATATGACATAACACCCCAAAACAAACAATGCCTTTTTCAAATAACTCGGGCACCACCAGTTCCCCAAGCTAGTATATATAGATATCCAAGATGAAAAATATTTTAAGACACGCTTAAACTTTCTCTTGAAACATGGTACAATCTCAAGATACAATCTCAAGATTTGAGAATGGTGAGAAGTAAAACATAGTCCATGATGAACTATTGAGAGGTCCCCAAACCTAGCGTTACTACTTCTGTCTTTAACATAACAACTTTTCTTCCAACAGACTGGATGGAGGCAGAACAAAGACATATAGCCTCAGGTGTTATTGCAGCTCAGGTGTAATTTAGCACCAAAGAAACCCTCTGGAGAGATAAGGGAAGCTGAGAAAACAAGCAGTGACACACACTGAGGCTTGGGTGTTAACCCTAAACTTTACCCCAATTCTTGTTTCCACAACAAGCCAAATTTTCCAAAGTCAGAGGAGCAGAAAGTGAGAGGAAAATCTCCTGAACAAGGACACAGACCGCAAAGGAAACTCTACAGGGGTGTTCGCCCTTCTGTATGTGATCCAAAGCTAAAGAATATATAATGTATATACTCGAGTATAAGCCTAGTTTTTCAGCCCTTTTTTTAGGCTGAAAAAGTCCCTCTCGGCTTATACTTGAGTCAAGATTATTTATTAYTGAATTCTGTTCTCGTCGTTATTATTATTATTATTATTATTATTATTATTATTATTATTACATTTATCATTTTACTCTTATTATTATTACATTTATTATTTTACTTTATTATTRTTATTTATTATTTGTTATTTACATTTATTATTTCACACTCTTTATTATWATTGGAAGGATACATAAGCACATTTCCATTGAAGAAAGTTAGAATCGTGGTTTAATCAGAGTTGGACAGTCTTATCTTAAATTACAGTTTTATGTAAATATTCAAAAACATTTAACCTTCTAATGCCTCAATTAATGTWATTGTATTGGTATCTATTTATATTTTGAAACTCCTGCATTTCCCACCCCTTGGCTGATACTCGAGTCAATCCGTTTTCCCAGTTTTTTGTGGTAAAATTAGGTGCCTCGGCTTATATTCCGGTCGGCTTATACTCGAGTATATACGGTATATATATAGAGAGAGAGAGAGAGCTCTAGTTACACTTTAACAATGTCCCTGTTCCAACTTACATGCAAATTCAACTTGAGAACAAAACTACAGAACCTATCTTGCTCATAACTTGGGGACTGCCTGTACTATAGTATAAGTACACGTCGAGGTTTTGGAGTATGGATTTTCATTCCCCGGAGAGGAGAAAGGACCAATGGCACCTCCTCAAGGGACCAACCACATCCAGTCACTGCAATTTCTTCTCCCAGGCATCCATAGAGGCCAAACATGATCATATTTTAAAAAACAAAGTTCCTCACCTTTCCGTCCCCCTTTTCCCTCTGTTTTCCTCCCGCCTTCTTTCTTGCTCTAGCCCTTGCAGTGTTAATCTTTCCAGGTTTCTCTGGTTTATAGCAGCCTCACTGAAATGACTGGTGGCATCAGACGTCACCTGTTGCGAAACAAAGAGAACGAAAAGGTGGCATTGCTCTCTTGCGCTGGCCAAAGACACAAAAGCCTCTAGCGCCGTCTTCCGGGCAACAAGACCAACACAGAAAGTTTCCCCAAGACCCTTTGGCCTCATTGCCTGCACTACAACAGTAAGGACATCCCTTGCTATGCTACCCAACCTGAACAGCTGATGGCACAGAGATCCATATACTTCTTCTGCACCAGTGTTTCTCAACCTTCCTAATGCCGTGACCCCTTAATATGGTTCCTCATGTTGTGCTGACCCCCAATCATAACATTATTTTTGTTGCTACTTCATAACTGTCATTTTGTTACTGTTATGAATCATAATATAAATGCCTGATATGCAGCATGTATTTTCATTCACTGGGCCACATTTGGCACAAATACCTGATATGCCCAAGTTTGAATACTGGTGAAGTTTTGGGAAAATAGACCTTGACATTTAGGGGTTGGAGTTGCTAGGATTACAATCAAGGAGCGCCTTGAATCCCACCAATGATAGAATTGGGCCAAACTTCCCAAACAGAACACCCATGACAAACAGAAAATACTGGAGGGATTTGGGAGGAATTGACAGTGATTTTGGGGATATGTAGTTCATCTACCTCTGGAGAAACTGTGAACCCAAACTACTATGGATCTGGACCAAATTTGGCACAAATACCTGATATGCCCAAATATGAATACTGGTGAGGTTGGGGAGGGGAGATTAATTTTGTCATTTGGGAGTTGTAGTTGCTGGGATTTACAGTTAACCTACAATCAAAGAGCACTCTGAATCCAGCCCACAACTGATCTGCACCAATCTTGGCATTCTACCTACCTGGCCAACATTAAATACTGGTGGGGTTGTGGGAGGAGCTGTTTTGGAATTCTGGGAGTTGTAGTTCACCAACACTTTGTACCAAACTGGTGATGGAACTAGTAAACATGCCACATATACCCAGCATGTCAAACTTTGAATACTGGAGGGGTTTCGAGGGAACTGATCTCAGAGGTTGGGAGTTATAGTTCATCCACATTGATAGAGCATTGTGCACCAAACTGGACACACAGACCTTATATGGCCAACTGTGAATACAGGCAGAGTTTGGGGAGGATTGACCCACGATTTTGAGAGTTGTAGTTCACCCACATCCTTATGCATTTTCTAATGGGAACATTAATTTAAAAAGCAAAAGCAAAAGTAAAGACTGGCTTTTTTTTAATAGCGTTACAAATTACTTAAGCTGTTTCTGCTGATCTTCCTGATGCTGTTGGGCCAATCTCAGTCCCATGTCGCATGGGTGCTTTCCCCCCTGCCTTGACGGGACTTGCTGGTGCAGGTCTCCCTCCAGCCATGCATTCTCTCCCTCGCCCGCACACCACGCTGCCATGCGCTGAGCACACTTGCCCTCTCCCCCCCACTCTGCTTGGGAGTCTCAAAAACAACCCTCCCCTTGGTGGAGAGGCCGGGAGGATTCAACATCTGTGTCCAAAAAGGAAGAGGACAGGCAGAGAGATCTTCAGCCTTCTCTGCCAAAGGGATTCCAAAGACCATCAGAAATGGGTGTTTTCTGATGGTCTTTGGCGACCCCTCTGAAACCCCCTTGCAACCTCCCCAGGGGTCCTGACCGCCAAGTTGAGAAACGCTGGTCTAGTGCTACCTAAAAGGCTGGAAGGTTTTTCTTTTACGAACTAGAGCTAGTGTCCAAGTGGTGACTAGTCCACAAAAGTTTAGAGCTGAATAAATCTCATGTAAACTAAAATAAGGCGACTGCTGCGATACCGCTTACCTTGATGTTACAAGCAAGAGCTTTTCCATCATCCCCTTTAAACATCAGCTTCATTCCCTTAAGTGTTTCCATAGCTTTTGAGAAAGACGTGGACGCTTGGTACTGGACAAAAGCCTCAAATGTCCTCAGGCCACGGAAAGTGAAATTATGTGTGCTTCCTCCCACCACTTCTTCCCTATACGGATCAAGCATGGGGATATCTATGTTCTTGATCTTTCCAAAACGTTCAAACACTGCTCTCAAGACATCTTCGCTCGGCACTTCACTATCTGAACCTCTCGGAGCAAACCATTTGCACGGCAATCCTTCCAAATGGAGGCAGTCCGCCACATCCTTGCTTTGCTCCGCAAAGTTTCCTTCCGGCAATTCTCTATTGTTCGCATTGGCTCCCAACTCCTGTGGAGTTGGGAAATCCAGAGGTGCCTCTGTAGCAACCACTTGCAAGTCATCTTTAAAACCATTGAGTTTTATCATCTTGCCATGGAGCTTTTCCTTGAGGCTACAGACCAAGCGCTTGGTTTCTGCCTCTCCCTCGAGGCGAAGGAGTCCCTTAGTGCTCTTTGAGACCTTTACGCTGGTGAACTGGTCTGGACAAATCATACTCTTCAGCTTATCCATCACTTCCCACTTAGAGAAGGCTCGGGGTGAGCCGGTGTGTTCTGGAAGCAGCACACTGATTGTCAGTTTCGCTACGGGCTTAAGATAGAGTCGCTGAGAAGCACAGAGCTCCATAGCTTCCGAGGCATCGCACACTAGAGTGACTGTCATGGCATCCAAAGGTCCTTTAGAAAAACAATTAAAAGGATGGGTTACGCTGCAGGTAAAGCATGCTCCTTATATCCTATACGGCTCCTTATATCCTACATGGTTGAATTATGCTATTGTTTGGTTTGATGGTTGTGTTATATTTTGTTATAACGTTTACTGTTATTTTATGATATTTTAAATTGATGTTATGCATTCTAATGTGCTATTTTTTAGCTCTGTTGTTTGGGCATGGCCCCATGTAAGCCACCCCAAGTCCCTTTGGGGAGATGGAGGTGGGGCATAAAAATAAAATTCTTTATTATTATTATTATTATTATTATTATTATCAGGAACAGCTTCTTGCACCATATAGATATGCACTCAAGTCTTGAAAGATAGCAAATAAAAGACAGGTGCTGTTTAAGTGATTCATCTGTCAGGCAAACACACTTTTGTGAAGTAAACTGGTCAACAACGAAAACTCTTTGTCATTATAGCCTCTGAATATTGATTCACAAGAAAGCTCCTTGCATTTCAGTGAGATTTACTCCAGCCCAAGCAGGCAAATAATATTGTTATTGCTCGCATGTGAAGGATTACCTTGATTCTAGCAGTCAGGCAACTCCTTAATGCTTCAGCATATATAAAGGCAGTTATCTGACACCTGAATACCAACAAAAATAAATAATTCTGACTTCTGTGTGGGTGTGTTTTCCAGTCTCCGGTTGATATATTGTGACCCCATGAATTTTATAGGGTTTTCTCAGGCAAGGAATACTCAGAGGTGGTTTTGCAAGTTCCTTTCTGCTGAAATATAGCCTGCAGCACCCTGGGATTCAATGGTGGTCTCCCAGGCAAGCACTAACAAGGGATGGCCCTGCTTAGCTTTCAAGATCAGATAGGATCTACTGCCCTTAGTATATTAGGGCAGTGTAACATCTCTAATCATGCCAATAAATACTGAGTATTAAAAAGAGAAAGGCCTACATATAACTGAATTTATCCAAAACAAGAGAACATGCAAGTTGCACAGACCAAACTTTCTGAAATCTGCATGTGTACCACTCATTTAAGCCTTACAAGCAAAAATCTATTCTGTTTTCTTAATTCTCAGAAAGTACAGAATGAAGCAGTGCATCTTCTATTTCAAGAATGAATTCACATTTTATTTTTAAAATGGCACAAAAATGCTTCCATTCACTCAAGACAACATTTTTTTGTATTTATTAAACCATAATATTTTTATCTCAAGTTTAACAGAACTCAGCAATATCTTTTTTCTCAAAGGCTATGCAATCACTATACAGTTAATTACACACCTTGAAATGCAGTACGCTTTGAAAGGTAATTTAAAGTTGATAGAAACAATTGGTTTTTTCCATCTCCATATATTTTGGCTCTCTTGAATAGGTGTTTCCTTCCTCCCTCAGTCTTCCAACTTTATCTTCATGCTCTGTACTGGAAATTATGATATGCTCATTTTATATTAAGCACTCCTCCTTAAAATGCCCTATTCCTACATCTTCAAGTCCAAGCTCAACAATACACTCTACCTACTTATTTTCCTGTACAGATGTATGGGGAATGGTTCCTGGCAAATTGCAGTAAGCCTCCTTCTGAGACCTAAGGACCAAATTTAAGACCTCAAGGGAGAACAAACTCAAAAATACGTAAAGTGCAGCTGTAGACAAAGCATCACCTGCTCCCATCTTGGGGAAAAAACACCTCAGTCACAAAGGTACATCCACAGCCGATGTACATCAGGTGGCACACTGTTTATTTATTTTCTTTCTTAAGAAACATTTCAAGGAAAGAAATGCAATCATGGAAGTTTAACATTATCCTTAAATGAATGATGTACAGGTTATTTAAAGAAATGGCAGGGAAAAGGCACCATATTTAAAAAGAAGGGCACAGAAACACCATTGTGGGGTAAGGAAGTGCTCTAGATTCAGAAAACTCAGCCACAACAGTAGTATAGTGTACTTATGCCCACCTTTCTTTCTCCCTAAAAGAAGACGCCCCTCCCAACAGTTTGGACCTCCATACAACCCATGCTGCAAACCCCAATATGTCAGCACCCCACCCACTTTTTCCCTCTCCTCACACCTCCAACTCACCCTTTTGAATCTCCTTGTTGAGAGAAAAAGCAGGGTATAAATAAACATAACAACAACCTGCATCTTTCCCAGCAAAAGGAGGACCCACACAGACCCTTCCCCACAAGATTTTCCCCATAATTGTATGGATGCCTCACAACCAAAGTCCAAATGACTCCCTCAAACTCTTACCCTCCAAACCAACCTGAGGGGACCCCCATTGCTTTCCCCAGGACTTCTGCCACCCTGAAAGGGGGTTTTGCAGAACGTAACCCCCAAAAACAAATCCCAGTGGAGTCAGGTCTTTTTCTCTTTTCTCATTGATGCCAGGCATCCTTACCTCCTTCCTACCCAACCTTATACCCACAACTAGCCTTCATCTCTCCTTCATTCCCCCAATAAGAACTCCCTGAACCCTTATAGAAACCACAATCCCAAATAAAGCAAAAACCCCATCCCTGATACAGCAAAATCCCACAATTCCAAATAAAACACAAACCAAGCAGGGGACCCTTCAGTACCTTCCTCATCTCCTCCCTTCCCTTTCCCCTCCCCTAACCAACCCTCAAATATCCAAATCACACTTGATGCCAGGCCCCCTTCTTCTTCCCCCCATCTTCCAACCTAGGTTCCCTTTAAACCCTATATACTCTGTACATCTCGCCATAATCCCAAATATACCACTCCCAAATAAATAAAACCCCAGCCCTCCAAAACAACCTACCTTGGACCCTTTCAAACCATTCCCTAGCCCTGAAAGGGAGCTTTTGCTGGATGTAATCCCCCAAAACAAATTCCACTGGAGTCAGGCCTCTTCCTCATTGATGCCAGTCCCCCTTCCTTCCTTCCTTCCTCCCAAACCTTATACCTCACAAACAATCTGCTCCATCCCTGTCTCATCCTAATTTTAGTATTTTTGGTATCTTAGTTTTTATCTTGCACATGCAGCCCCGCTCACTGTTATTTTATTTTATTGTGTATGGTTTTGATTTATCTGGTTTTTGTTGTACTCATATGTTGTATGTATTTTACTGTGTTGTTACTGTGTTTTGGTTTTATTTTATTGTAATATGCTGTTGGGCTTGGCCTCATGTAAGCCGCCCTGAGTCCCCATTGGGGAGATGGTGGCAGGGTATTAAACAAAGTTTATTATTATCTCCCCTTCTCCTTCCTCTCCCAATAGGATCCCCTGAACCCTCAGAGCCCCACAGAACCCACCTCCACAACCCCAAATCTCCTTCCCCCGAATAAAATAAAACCCCAGCCCTCCAAACCAACCCACTATGGACCCTCGCAGACCCTTCCGCAGCCTTGAAAGGATGCTTTGCAAATTATAACACCCCCCAAAAACCTAACTGGAGCCAGACCTCTTCCTTACTGATACCTGCCAGCCTTCCTTCCTTCCTTCAACCTATACTCACCACTGGCTTTCATCTCAAGGACATCAGACATGCCCCAACTCTGGCAATCTTTAGGAGCCTGAAAACGTGTTTGTTCCAGTGTGCCTTCCCAGAATAAGGAAAACTCTCAGCAATATGCCCTCAAAATGCACTTTACCATTGATTTAGGACTGACTGCGTTCCTCCATCTCTCATTGAAAATTCTATCCCAGTTATATCCTACCTTGTTCATGTCCAGCATTATTTTTAATTTTAATCTATTACATTTGGCCCGGCCATTGGTTTTAAATGCTTGTGTGTTACTGTTGATTTACTGTTATTTTTGTTATGTGATTTATATTAATTGTATTGCTTTGACTGTTTTGTTATTGCTTTGTTTATTGATGTGCTGTGGGCTTGGCCTCATGTAAGCCGCACCGAGTCCCTTGGGGAGATGGTAGCGGGGTACAAATAAAGTTTATTCATTTATTTATTTAACTTTATTTCTATACCGCTTTTCTCAGCCTTCAGGCGACTCAAAGCGGTGAACAACATCAGTACAAAATATCACAAAACAAGTATAGGGCAATTAAAAACAATTATCACATAAATCATTAACATCAGTATAACAATCATTAGCGCCTCAACAGTAAAATCAGAATCCAGTCTCGTCATCCATTATTCCGTATTCCTATGTTCAATTACACTGTTTAATCAAATGCTTGTTCGAACAGCGAGGTATTCACTTTCCTCCGAAACTCCAGCAGGGAGGGGGCCAATCTGATATCTGCAGGCAGGGCGTTCCACAGCCGAGGGGCCACCACTGAGAAGGCCCTGTCTCTCGTCCCCGCCAAGTGCGCCTGTGATGCAGGCGGGACTGAGAGCAGGGCCTCCCCAGATGATCTTAGTGTCCTATTCGGTTCATAAGAGTAGATGCGTTCGGAGAGGTAAGTTTTTATTATTATTACTAGCTGTACCTGCCATGCGTTGCTGTGGCCAACCCTCCATCCCTCTTTCTCTTCTTTCTTGCTCTCCTTTCCTTCCTTCCTTTCCTCTTTCTCCACTTTCTTCCTTCTCTACCTATTCTTGGACTGCAACTCAAAGCGGTCCTCCTGATCGATCTATCAATCTACCTATCCATATCTATCTATTCTATCTATCTGGAGGATTGCTGGGAGTTGCAGTCCAGGAATAGGAAATTGGAAATCTGCAGGGATTGGGATGCTTTCAAAGAAATCCAAGGAGAAGAACGCTTGCAGCTTGGAAGCAGTGCATTTGGATCCTCCTCCTCCCCTAAAGGGCCTGGTCTAGGGGATGCTGGGAGTTGTAGTCCAGAAGAAAGTGTGGATACGCTATTGTTTGTTTTGTTTGCCAAGGGAAGTCGTTTTTGCGCTTGTGCTGTAGAGTCTTTTGCTCTCTCTCTTTTTACTTTTTAAGTCCCTTCTGCTGTGTTTTTCGGTGTTTTTATGAGTGCTGGTCACTTGTTGGCCTGATAGTTGTGTTGTGTCCAAATTTGGTGTCAATTCGCCCAGTGGTTTTTGAGTTATGTTAATCCCACAAACGGACATTACATTTTTATTTATATAGATTATTATTATTATTATTATTATTATTATTATTATTATTATTATCTCCCTTCCTTCTTTCCCCCAGTAAGACTCCATGGACCCTCAAAGTACACACAATCCCAAACAAAATGAAACCCCAGGCTCTAATAAAGCAAAACCCCAGGATAATAAAGTAAAGTCCTGCCCCCTAATAGAGCACAACCCCAGGCCCTAATAAAGCACGACACTAGGCCCTAATAAAAATAACCCCACGCCCTAATACAGGAAAACCCCAGGCCTCAAATACCCAACTCAACCCTTGAAGCCAGGCCCCCTCCTTCTTCTTCTCCTTCTTCTCCTCCCACCTTCAAACCCCACACACTCTATACATCTCTCCTTCTTATTTCTTCCCCCACAAATAAATAAGCAGATCCATAGGCCGCCTCCCCACAGAAACAGCCCTCCCCGCCCTTTCTCTAACTGACAGGAAAGGCTCGCCGCGGCCTAGTGAGGCCTAGTGAGGCCTAGCGCAGCCTGACGCCTCCGCGCTCACCGTTGAGGCCTTCTCCTCACTGCTTCTGGGATTCCTCCTCTTCTTCTTCCTCCTGCTGCTGCTTCTTCTCCTTCCCGGGGCGGAGCACGAGGGACCCCGAGAAGGGAGAGAAGGAAGGAAGGAGGCGTCGGAGAAGGACCGCCTCTTCCTCCTGACAGGAAAAGGAAGGAAGGTGGCAGGCGGTGAGGCGGGCCCTGAGGGAGTAGGCCGCCATTCACCGTCAGGGCGGGAGATGAGAAGAAGGATGCCGGGCCTGCGCCTGCGCCTGAAGCCTGCCTCGATTGGGAGCCCCCGCCTCCCCTTCCTGGATCCCTCAAGAGGTTTCTCCCCCTTTCAATCCTCATTTACAACAGGGAAGAAGCCTTTCCCCATCATGGCTGGGTTCTTGATCCAAATAGGGCGGGAATGCCCCACACACAAATAAAGCTGAAGAAGATTCCTATACTTCTAGTGGAAACTCATGTGTTGGTCAAATGGTGTTGTTGAGTTTTGTGTATTTTTTYYCCCCTGGATGCATCTACACTGTCGAATTGACGCAGTTCGAAACCGCTTTATTGGAAGGGAATTGAGGAGGCCMCGCCCCCTCGTTCCTCGCTCGCCCCGCCCCTTTGTAGCCTGACAGCAGAGCTACGTTGGAATGCTCCGCCCCTCTCCCCGCCTGGCCCCGCCCCTTTTCTCTGACTTGACCGTGGAATATTCCTCCCACAGTGAAGAGGCCCCGCCCCTCTTTCCCAGCTCGCCCCGCCCATTTTCCATAGCCTGCAGCGGAGAAGGCATTCCTCCCAGTGAGGAGGCTCCGCCCCTATCCCCAGATGGACCCGCCCCTTTTCCATAGCCCGGCTGCAGAGAATGCATTCTTCCTATCCTTTCCTATATAGCCTAACGGTGAATGTATTCCTCCCACAGTGAAGAGGCCCCGCCCCTCTTTTCAGATAATCCCGCCCCTTTCCCCATAGTCTAGCAGTAGAGAAGGTATTTCTCCCAGTGAGGAGGCCCTGCCCCTCTCCCCAGATGGCTCCGCCTCTTTCTATAGCCCGGCAGTGGAGAATGAATTCAATAGTAAGGAGGCCACGCCCATCTCTCAGATAGCCCCGCCCCTTTTCCATAGCCGGCCAGTGGAGAATGAATTCCTCCCATAGCGAGGAGGCCCCGCCCATTTCTCAGATAGCCCCGCCCCTTTTCCATAGCCCGGCAGTGGAGAATGAATTCCTCCCATAGCGAGGAGGCCCCGCCCATTTCTCAGATAGCCCCGCCCCTTTCCATAGCCCGGCAGTGGAATGAATTCAATAGTGAGGAGGCCCCGCCCATCTCTCAGATAGCCCCGCCCCCTTTCCGTAGCCCGGCAGTGGAGAATGAATTCCTCCCATAGCGAGGAGGCCCCGCCCATTTCTCAGATAGCCCCGCCCCTTTCCATAGCCCGGCAGTGGAGAATGAATTCCTCCCATAGCGAGGAGGCCCCGCCCATTTCTCAGATAGCCCCGCCCCTTTCCATAGCCCGGCAGTGGAGAATGAATTCCTCCCATAGCGAGGAGGCCCCGCCCATCTCTCAGATAGCCCCGCCCCTTTCCATAGCCCGGCAGTGGAATGAATTCAATAGTGAGGAGGCCCCGCCCATCTCTCAGATAGCCCCGCCCCCTTTCCGTAGCCTGGCAGTGAAGGCATTCCTCTCATAGCGAGGAGGCCCCGCCCCTCTTTTCAGATCGCCCCGCCCCTTTCCATAGCCCGGCAGTGGAGAATGAATTCCTCCCATAGCGAGGAGGCCCCGCCCATCTCTCAGATAGCCCCGCCCCTTTCCATAGCCCGGCAGTGGAATGAATTCAATAGTGAGGAGGCCCCGCCCATCTCTCAGATAGCCCCGCCCCCTTTCCGTAGCCTGGCAGTGAAGGCATTCCTCTCATAGCGAGGAGGCCCCGCCCCTCTTTTCAGATCGCCCCGCCCCTTTCCATAGCCTGGCAGTGGGGGCCTTCCTGCCCCCGTGATGAGGCCCCGCCCCCTGCCCCTTGAGGCCCCGCCCACCCCTGGGGAGGGAGGCCGTGCGGGGATGGCAACATGGCGGCGCGAGGGCCGGCTGACGGGGGCGCAGGCGGCGTGGTGCGCGGGGCTGGCGGGGGCGGCGGGGCAGTCGGCGTCGGCGCCGCTGGAGACGCTGTGCGCGCTGGGCCAGGCGCGGGCGGGCTTTCCCCGGGGACCGGGCGGGCTGCGGGAGGGGGCGCGGCGGCTGGTGCGGGCCGAGGGCAAGGCCGCGCTCTGGAAGGGCAACCTCGCCGCCCTCCTCCGCCTCCTCCCCGCCGCCGCCGCACAGCTCGCCGCCCAGCGCAGGTAAGGGAAGGGAGCCTCGCGCTAGGCCCTAGGGGGGGCCGGGAGGTGTAGTTTGGCATGGCCCAAGGTTCTGTGGAATGCTGGGAGTTGTAGTTTGACTTGGCTCTATGCTATGGGTTGCTGGTCCATGGTACTATGGGGTGCTGGGAGTTATAGTTTGTCATAGCTCTCATGCTATGGGGTGCTGGGAGTTACAGTATGTCATGGCTCAAGGCCTTATAGGGTGCTGGGAGTTATAGTTTGACATGCTCAAGGTTCTATGGGATGCTGGGAGTTGTAGTCTGTCATAGCCCAAGGCCTTATGGGGTGCTGGGAGTTATAGTTTGTCATAGCTCTCATGCTATGGGGTGCTGGGAGTTGTAGTCTGTCATAGCCCAAGGCCTTATGGGGTGCTGGGAGTTATAGTTTGTCATAGCTCTCATGCTATGGGGTGCTGGGAGTTGTAGTCTGTCATAGCCCAAGGCCTTATGGGGTGCTGGGAGTTATAGTTTGTCATAGCTCTCATGCTATGGGGTGCTGGGAGTTACAGTATGTCATGGCTCAAGGCCTTATAGGGTGCTGGGAGTTATAGTTTGACATGCTCAAGGTTCTATGGGATGCTGGGAGTTATAGTCTGTCATGGCCCAAGGCCTTATGGGGTGCCGGGAGTTGGAGTTTGGCATGGCCCAAGGTTCTATGGAATGCTGGGAGTTGTAGTTTGACTTGGCTCCATGCTATGGGTTGCTGGTCCATGGTACTATGGGGTGCTGGGAGTTATAGTTTGTCATAGCTCTCATGCTATGGGGTGCTGGGAGTTATAGTTTGACATACTCAAGGTTCTATGGGATGCTGGGAGTTATAGTCTGTCATGGCCCAAGGCCTTATGGGATGCTGGGAGTTATAGTTTGACATGCTCAAGGTTCTATGGGATGCTGGGAGTTATACTTTGACATACTCAAGGTTCTATGGGATGCTGGGAGTTATAGTTTGACATGCTCAAGGTTCTATGGGATGCTGGGAGTTATAGTTTGACATACTCAAGGTTCTATGGGATGCTGGGAGCTATAGTTTGACATACTCAAGGTTCTATGGGGTGCTAGGAGCTATAGTTTGACATACTCAAGGTTCTATGGGGTGCTAGGAGCTATAGTTTGACATATTCAAGGTTCTGTGGGATGCTGGGAGTTATAGTTTGACATACTCAAGGTTCTATGGGATGCTGGGAGGTGTAGTTTTTCATTGCTCAATGCTATGGGATGCCGAGACTTATTGCTTGTCATGGCTCAAGGCTGTGAGATGCCGGCAGTTATAGTCTGTCATGGCCCAAGGCCTTATGGGGTGCTAGGAGTTGTAGTTTGACATAGCCCGTGGTACTATGGAATACTGGGAGTCATAATTTGTAATTGCTCAATGCTATAGGATGCTGGGATTTATGGTGTGACATGCTCAAGGTTCTATGGGGATGCTGAGAGTTATAGTTTGTCATAGCCCATGGTACTATGGGGTTCTGAGAGTTGTAGTTTGTCACTGCTCAATGCTATAGGATGCTGGGAGTTATGGTGTGACATGCTCAAGGTTCTATGGGATGCTGGAAGTTATAGTTTACCATGGATCAATGCTACGCTGTGCTATAATAATAATATAATATAATGTAATATAATATAATATATTGTGTATTTATATAATATTTATAATATTATAGCATAATACTAATGATAATATGATATTATAATTATACATTTTATATTGCATGTAATATTACTAATAATATTACAATATAATGGTAGAGTACAATATAGCAATATATAATACTGATATTGTACTATGTTAAGAATATAATATATTGTATGTATATACATCTTGTAAGCCGCTCTGAGTCCCCTTTTGGGGTGAGAAGGGCAGCATAGAAATGACGCAAATAAATAAATAAATAAATAAGGGGTGCTGGGAGTTATAGTTTGCCATTGCTCAATGCTATGGGATGCTGGGTATTATGGTTTGACATTCTCAAGGTTCTATGGGGTGCTGGGAGATATAGTTTGCCATGGCCCATGGTACTATGGGATGCTGGGAGATGTAGTTTGCCATTGCTCAATGCTATGGGATGCTGGGAGTTATGGCTTGACATGCCCAAGCTTCTATGGGATACTGGGAGTTGTCGTTTGATGTGGCCCAATGCTATAGGATGCTAGGAGTTGTAGTTTACATTATTCGGTTCTATGGGATTCTGGGAATTGTAGTTTCACATGGAATCGTCGAAGTTGTACTTTGCTAAGGCTCAGCGCAATGGGATGCTGGGAGTTGTAGTTTGCGTGCCAGGGCTACATGCTATAGAATGCTGGGAGTTATAGTTTGACACCCACTGCTGAGTGCTATGGTATTTTATGCAAATAGGACAGTTTCACACATCACAACAAGACAGTTTAACAACCGTTGTACCGGTGGGCTTTCTGGATTGTTTTCTCAAAAAGAGGGCTGTTGTTGTTGTTGATATTGTTGATGATGATGGTGTTCCTTTCCTTTCCTTCCTGGGTCCCTGATGGTTTTGCCCATGTGCCTGGAACCAGGTTCGTGATGCTGTTTGTGGACGAGGCGGGCCACATCTCCCATTGGGGCTCCATTGCGGCCGGGGGCATGGCGGGAGTGGTAGCCGCTGTGGCCACGTACCCGGCAGAGGTCATCCAAACGCGGCTCATCATGCAGAACCGGCTGCAGCCTTCCTACAAAGGCGTCCTCCACGCTCTCTGCACCATCTGCCACCAGGAAGGCGTCACTGCGCTTTACCGGGGGGTTTCGCTCTCCGTCTTAGGTACCAGCGGCACGCTTATTTACCTTACGTAACATACGAAAAGTTTCTTATATCCCCCATAACAAAGACAGGAGTGGTATTATTCATTGTTTTAAACATGATTGTCTGATATGTCTTGTCGAAGGCTTTCATGGTGGAATCACTGGGTTGTTGTAGGTTTTCCGGGCTATATGACCATGTTCTAGAGCAGTGGTTCTCAACCTGGGGTCCCCAGATGTTTTGGCCTTCAACTCCCAGAAATCCTAACAGCTGGTAAACTGGCTGGGATTTCTGGGAGTTGTAGGCCAAAACACCTGGGGACCCACAGGTTGAGAACCAATGTTCTAGAGGCATTCTCTCCTGATGTTTCGCCTGCATCTATGGCAAGCATCCTCAGAGGTAGTGAGGTCTGTTGGAAGTAGGAAAAATGGGTTTATCTATCTGTGGAATGACCAGGGTGGGACAAAGGACTCTTGTCTGCTGGAGCTAGGTGAATGTTTCAACTGACCACCTTGATTAGCATTTAATGGCTTGGAAGTGCCTGGGGGAATCTTTCTTTGAGAGACCACCTACAGACCCACCAAGAAAATCCAACAAATGCTTCGTTCAGCAAAGGACAAGAGGGATCCTCTCACCTCTGCAGGAGTCTACCATGTACCATGCAGCTGTGGACAAGTCTACATAGGGACCACCAAACGCAGTGCCCAAACACGAATCAAGGAACATGAAAGGCACTGCAGACTACTTCAACCAGAGAAATCAGCCATAGCAGAGCACCTGATGAACCAACCTGGACACAGCATTTTATTTGAGAACACAAAATGCTGGACCACTCTAACAACCACCATGTCAGACTACACAGAGAAGCCATTGAAATCCACAAGCATGTGGACAATTTCAACAGAAAGGAAGAAACCATGAAAATGAACAAAATCTGGCTACCAGTATTTAAAAAACTCAAAATTACAACAGCAAAACAACAGAGAGTAAACAATCAGGCACATCAAATCACCTCTCAAAGAAAGATTCCCCCAGGCACTTCCAAACCATCAAATGCTAATCAAGGTGGTCGGTTGAAACATTCACACCTAGCTCCAGCAGACAAGAGTCCTTTGTCCCACCCTGGTCATTCCACAGATATATAAACCCTTTTTCCTAGTTCCAACAGACCTCACTACCTCTGAGGATGCTTGCCATAGATGCAGGCGAAACGTCAGGAGAGAATGCCTCTAGAACATGGCCATATAGCCCCCCAAAACCTACAACAATGCATTGTCTGATATGGTGCTTTAATTGTGCTTTCCCTGCCTAGCAGAACAAAGGGGTTGGACTAGATGGTCTCTGAGGGTCCCTTCCAATGCCATGATTCTATCTGGACGATCCAAGATTCCTTAAATTTGATAGTTATGTCGTCTTATATGGTGCTTTGATTGTGCTTTCCCTGCATGGCAGAACAAAGGGGTTGGACTAGATCAGCAGTTCTCAACCTGGGGGTCGCAACCCCCAAGGGGGTCATTTGGCTTTTCAAAGGGGTCGCGAGGCTGCCTCCTTTGGCCCTGCCCCTCAAGGCTTTCACCCCACTGCCCAAGGCTTTGCACGAGGCCAGGCCTAGCGCAAAGGAGCCCTCGCCTGCCTCGCACTCTTGAAAATAATTTTATGATTGGGAGTCACCACAACATGAGGATCCATATTTAATGGTCACGGTGTTAGAAAGGTTGACAACCACTAGACTAGATGGTCTCTGAGGGTTCCTTCCAATGCCAAGATTCTATCTGGACGATCCAAGATTCCTTAAACTTGATAGTCATGCCATCTTATATGGTGCTTTGATTGTGCTTTCCCTGCATGGCAAAACAAAGGGGTTGGACTAGATCAGGGGTCCTCAAACTAAGGCCTGGGGCCAGATACGACCCCCCAAGGTCATTTTCCTGGCCCTCTCAGGGTCAACCTAAGTCTGAAATGACTTGAAAGCACACAACAACAACAATCCTATCTCATCAGCCAAAAGCAGGCCCACACTTCCCATTAAAATACTAATAAGTTTATATTTGTTAAAATTGTTCTTCATTTTAATTATTGTATTATTTTTAAGTGGTTTTTTTTTTTGCATTACAAATAAGATATATGCAGTGTGCATAAAAATTCATTCATGTTCTTTTCAAATTATAATCCAGCCCTCCAACAGTTTGAGGGACTGTGACTTGGCCCTCAGTTTAAAAATTTTGAGGATCCCTGGACTAGATGGTCTCTGAGGGTTCCTTCCAAGGCTATGGTTCTATCTGGACGATCCAAGATTCCTTAAACTTGATAGTCATGTCGCCTGATATGGTGCTTTGATTGTGCTTTCCCTGCATGGCAGAACAAAGGGGTTGGACTAGATCAGCAGTTCTCAACCTGGGGGTCGCGATTGGGGTTGTTTCGCCATTTCGGAGGGGTCGTGAGGCCACCTCATTTGGCCCTGCCCCCAAGGCTTTGCGTGAGTCCAGCCTAGCACAAAAGAGCCCTCGCCTGCCTCGCGCTCTCGAAAATAATTTTATGGTTGGGGGTCACCACAACATGAGGAACCATATTTAGTGGTCAAGGTGTTAGAAAGGTTGACAACCACTAGACTAGATGGTCTCTGAGGGTTCCTTCCAATGCCATGATTCTATCTGGATGATCCAAGATTCCTTAAACTTGATAGTCGTGTCGTCTGATATGGTGCTTTGATTGTGCTTTCCCTGCCTGGCTGAACAAAGGGGTTGGACTAGATGGTCTCTGAGGGTCCCTTCCAACACTATGGTTCTGTCTGTACAATCCAAAATTCTGCAATTCCAATGCAAAGTTTGGAATCAAAACATTGGGAGAACATCAGTGAGGCTTCAGGCTTCCATTTAGATCTGATCCTTGCCTTGGTTTATCACCATCTGGGGAAAAAATGGGCATTACAAAGCTGTATTACATTAATTTTGCCTTTTGTGCAACCTTCCAAGGGCTAAGTTACAAGGTCAAACTTTTTTTCCAATTCTGCAGAGAAGGAAACTGAGATAGACAGACAGACATTTTCCCTTGGCACATCTATCAAGCCCATATGCAAGTAAGAATACGTAGCTGAATTTCCCAATATTTGATTCACGGTCTCTGGATCAGACTCTATATGTAAATACGCTGCGCAGCGTACCTATCTGTGCTTGCTTGGGGATTCTGGGAATCAATGTCCCCCTCAAAAAAGATCCATTTGCCAGGCTCTGCTTGTGTGTTTGGGATGGCACCGGCCAGTGTTCAAGAGGCTATCTCTTTCACCCCCAGGTGCGATCCCCTTCTCGCTGGGCTCTTTCCTCGTTTACACTCACCTGGATAGAATCTGGGGGGAACCCAGCCTCGGCTTCACTCCGCTACAGAACTTCACCAACGGCTGCCTGGCGGCTGCGGTCGCACAAACATTCTCCTTCCCGTTCGAAACGATCAAGAGGAAGATGCAGGTACGCCTTTTTCGGACGTCTTTGCGTCACGAATACTTTTCAAACCCTAAAAAACATTCTTTAGTCCATGGGACAGAGTGTATCAAGCACTTTCAGAGACTGGCTCCAGGACTGGGTTTCTATTATAACAACCGTATATACTCGAGTATAAGCCGACCCGAATATAAGCTGAGGCACCTAATTTTATCATAGAAAACTGGGAAAACGTACAGACTCAAATATAAGCCGAGGGTGGGAAAAGCATCCACTATGGGTCAATTTCAGAATAAAAATAGATACCAATAAAATTACATTAATTGAGGCATCAAGAGGCTAAATGTTTCTGCATATTGACATAAAACTGTAAATTGAGAGAAGACTGCCCAACTCTTATTAAACCATTATTCTAACCTCCTTCAATGTAAATGTACTTATTATTAAAATAATAAATATAATTAAAATAATAGGGTAAAATGATGAAAATGCAATAAAAACAGTAATAATAGAGTAAAATAATAAATGTAGTAATCATAGGGTAAAATAGTGTAAATGTAATAATAATAATAATAATAATAATAATAAATAGATTAAAATAATAAATGTAATATTAATAATAATAGAGTAAAATACTGTAAATGTAATAATAATAATAATAGAGTAAAATAATGTAAATATAATAATAATAGAGTAAAATAATAAATGTAATAAAATAATACTAATAACAGAGTGAAAGAATAAATAATCTTGACTCGAGTATAAGCCGAGGGGAGCTTTTTCAGCCTAAACAAGGGGCTGAAAAACTAGGCTTATACTCAAGTATATACAGTATGTTGGTTACAGAGACAAAAAAGAGGAAACATCACATTGACTCTAACGTTCACCCCTAATCGGTCCATTCAGCCATTCTTACTCACCATCTTTCTTTTGGAAAATGGAAATCTCCATAAACTTTTGGAGATTTTACAATCTTTAGAAAGGCATGACCTTGTTAGAAGTCACAACCTTTTGAAAAATGATGCCAAATTAGGTCCCTCGTCTAATTGCCTTGCATGAACCGATATACCTAGGTATCTTTTTGAACTCTTAGAGACAAAGATATGTCAATACACAAAAAGCATACACACACACACACACAGATACACACACATGTAAAGGTAAAAGTTTCTGCTGACATTAAGTCTAGTTGTGTCCAACTCTGGGACTTTGGCATTCATCTCCATTTCTAAGCCGAAGAGCTGGCATTATCCTTAGACTCCTCCAAGGTTATGTGGCATAACTCAAAAACCACTTGACGAATTGACTCCAGATTTGGACACAATACACCTAACAACCCAATGAGTAATCATCACTCAAAAAAAA